TAAGCGTGACTGCTTTCTCACGCCAATGGGTCTGGGTTCAATCCCAGCCGAGGTCGGAGGGATTTTTCTGAGGCATAAAAATCTCGGCCCATATGTGGTTTGAATGGGTGTGATATCCTACGCAGGTGTGGAAACTGCCTTCCTGCACATTCGATTGCCGTCAATGGATGGAAATTGATGTCCGTCGGTGATTGGCACTAGATTGCGGAACAGAGACCGACGTTAAATAAAGGAAAAAAAAAAAAAGAAATAGTGTGAAATTGGTTAGTGAAGCCATGGTCATCAAAAGAGGTAACCGATGAAGATAATTGACTTTCACCCCGCTGCCTTTAAGCCCCTTAATTCAGTCGTTGTCATAGCAATGATAACTAGCATCGCACCGGTTTTGGTTCTTGGGTTGCACTTGCTGGTTGCAATTCTGCTGTTCGACATTTTCGAAGGACCACCAAAAAACATGAAATCCCACGCAACACGAGAAAAGGGCCTATCATTGTTGATCGATTCTCTTTATCGATTTTCTCTTTCGCGAACAACCTGACTGCAAATGAATTTCCCATTCAGTGTGTTGTTTCAGGCGCAGGCTAACATCATCTTCTATCGAACTATGCTGCGAGCTTAGCAAGAAATTCGCATATGTTGCCGTGGTAAATCAAAAAGAAAGTCGATGAAGAGAATCTAACAACGAGGATAGGCCCTTTTCAAATGTTACGCGAGTGTAATTTAATTACGCTTTTTTTTTAGGGATGCCTAACAGTCCAATTATTCGATTAACGATTAATCGTAAAGATTTTCCAGCTATTCGATTAAATATTTATCAAATTTACAATTACTCGAGCACGAAACCAACATCTCTTCTTATTTCTACTCGTTTTATTTAGCGCAGTAGAGAAAACAAACAAAAGTATTAATTTATCTGAACAGGCTTGGAAAAGAACCATGACGTGAAACAGGATCATAAAATCGCCGAAATAAGAGTTAAGCGTGTTTCTGCTAAAGGCTAAGATTTACCAACTTGTTGAGAGAAGGAGTTTAACGAGAAAAACTAAAAATGGGAGGAGCTGTAGCTGGGTGGACACTGACATCCTGCGGCCTTTCAAACTGTCGCAAACACCAGTTCATCCCTTGTCCAGCAGCAGACGGGCCGATACTATTGCGAGTGCCTATTCATTAAACCGAAGAATATGGGATTGTCCGGTCCGATTTGCTGATCCAGCTGCCTACACGTCATCATCATCTTCCAAAGGCTTTAAGTCTGTGCTTTTCAGGGTCACCAAGATTTTTCAAAAGAGGTAAAAATTTCTGAACATGTCCCAACTAAAATTCATATCAAAAAGTTCTTCTCAGGGCAATCATATTCATACTAAAGTGTATAAACTGAGAGACCCCGCTTAAATTCTAATTCCCACACAAAACACAAGCTACTGCTGTAGTTAACAAATAACATTTATTATATAAGACCATGTAGTTCTACGTCACCATTGCATACAGCGCCATAGGGCTGTCCCTTGTAGTTTTTTTTTTTTTTTACATAAATTAATGAATTTTGAGATTTCTTGTTTAAACAATTTTATAATCCTGAATTGAGGAAAATCTCCAAGACTCAGGTAGTTTGATTTGAAAATATTCCAGACATGAGGAAATTTCCAAGATTCGGGAACGTCCAAATAATCTGAACCAATATCTAAGCGTTTAAAATCTTAAAAACATAACTGTGTAAGAAAGTTCGTCAAAATTTAATTAAGTCTAGAGTAATGACCGGCATTAGGCCGGCTGGACACTAGACTGATGCAAAATTTGAAATTTTCGCTCCACAGTGCTCAAACGGTTCCAAATTGATTATTCTCCCAAAATTTGAACTCATTTAGTGAGAAACTGACTTAGCACAAACCATTTGAAGTTTATATGGGAATTACTATGGAGCAACCATAATTTCGGTTCATATCTATCTCAAAATTCACCAGTTCATTCTACATTAGAAAATGATAGCTGACCTTGTTGAAAATTTAATCAGCAACAACTTTGTTAAATACCACTTTTCGATCAAATGTAAGGAACAAAAATTATTAATGATTCAAGTCACTGATGTCTTATGATTATGCTCAATCAACTGTTCAGCAGGCAACATTGGTATTCATGGCGCGTAGAATAGAGGACAAAAATCATGGCTACTATGTCACACTGCAGAATACAGTGTTGCCCACAATACAGTTGCTTAATCTTGCCATAAGATTATCAATCTCTCAAACAATTAATAACTATTTAATTTGACGTTTGGCTCAAAAACTTTCTGCAAAATTGTAGCTTATAAAAATTCCCATAAAAATAGCAATAGAATTTGTTAACAGTACAATATGTAAAAAGATTAGAAGTTTGTGTGTATTGGCTTAATATAATAAATCTGATTAGTTAGAACTTCCATAAATGCTTTCTTGCACCATTTTTCATAATCATATGAGTAAGTTAGGCCAGATACTCCAATTATTTTTCTTTAAATTATTCACGATAAAAAATATTTTGTTTATTCTATAAAACGATACTTCTTTAACTCGATGGTGCCTTCAGTTATGGAGAGTTGGCTGCATTTTTCATTTTTTACAACATTTATTTCGATACAAGTTTATTTTGCCATTAATCTAGGCAACAAAAAACATGAAATCTTATTTCAAATTTAATTTAGGCCCTAGGACTAAATATTGGAGCACTAGTGGCATAGCTGGCTCACTTACCATAGATGATTTCTGACGCAGGAGGAGCAGGCGTAGTTACTAAGCGGTTCCTTAATGAAAAAAGAATTAAGTGACTTTTTACCAGATTCTTTGTATTTTTTAAAGAGATTTCTTGCACCATTCTTAAAACTTGAACCACTGTACAACGAAAATGTATGCAGAAACACTTCACCAGTCCTAGTAGAACAGCTGTGTAACTAATTTCAATCATATTCAATTTAAAATGTTTTTTGTAACAGAAATGCACTACAGGAATGCATTTCGATATAGAAGGACACATGTACAATTGTATACATAGCCCCCTTAGATTCTCCAGAGTTAAATTTAGTATAGATACATAGTAAAATATTCAGCTCCATTCATCGGGGATCGCTGCCTGTAAAGCCACACAACATTTCCCCAACCTAACAAAAAACAGAACCTCAAAGCCAAAACACTGAAAAAATTCCGATCACAATCGCTTTCTGTCTTTCACTGTTACTGTGAGCTGTTGTTACTGGTCCCACCGGGCAACCAGCGGTGGATCGTCTGTCTGGCCGTTCGATGGTTCCATTATGTTTGTACAGCTGAAAATTTCCTGTAAAAGTCAAACAACTCATCCGGCCGGCCCAGCCAGTAGTGTGCTGCTTTTCTGGTGTTTTGTATTTAGCATTTTGGAAGAACCGGACAATTTGGAAAAACGAACACAGAGAAGGAAAATAAAACAAGCACTACTGACTGTGGCAGCGATCCGATCGGTATCGTTTCTCACGCCATCGGCTAGTGCTGACTGACTGACCACCAGACCAGGCCGATGGATGCGGTGTGGAGGAAATAAAAACTCGTTGCTGGAAAAATGTAAACACAAATTTAAAAATAGTACAACAAGAGAGCAAAAACGAATAACGATCCTGGACACACGGAAGCGAAAATAAGATTGGAATCGAGATTTTTCATATCAACACATAACATCGACGAATGTTTGAATGCAAAGAAAGAAAACATCCACTAACATGTTTGGAAAGAGGATTGGTTTTTGTTCGCGTTGATTTATACTACTGTTTCATGTTGACTGTTTGAACATATTTTTTGTGTGTTAACACTGTGTTGGTTAATGTGGTTGCTGTTTGCGATTTAGAACTGCGACATTTAATATCTTGGTATGAGGGTTTTCTAATTTTAATAATTTAACAGTGTTCCACAAAAAAGCTAATAAATGATCAGGAGAGTCGAGTAAGATTATCACCCATATTCTTTTTTTCGTTTGAAACGTTTCGAACGAAATTAAGAATATGGGTATAAATCACCATGAGGCATGGAGCAAAACATTCAAAACGCGCTTCAAAGGCATTTTGATCTCAAGAGCGTGTTGAAAACATATAAATAGTAAATTGCGTTTCTGTAATACAAATGTTGTGCAGCGTGTAATTTATATGAAACGGAATAGGGTTTGTTTCTAGGTTGAAAGTATTCGCAATTTCTTGAACGAAGCTTATTGATGCAAAATTAAATTGGAGTACTATAAACGTATTATAGGCGTCGACAAATAGAATAAGAGGAATGACAAAATGTATAAAAATAAAAATAATCTGTGATAAGTATTACTGTACACTCCCGAAATCGATTGTAAAAATGTGTTCTTCAGAAGAAAAAAATAAATAAATACATACTCAACACACCAGTGAAAACAAAGTGTACATCGAAACGATTTATATGTATACACCGAAAACCACAGTACACCACGTGGAAAACAAAAATCAAAGATGATTTACCTATTTGGAATCACAAAAAAAGTCTCCTCAAGTGAAAACAACTTAAGTACACAACAAACAAAGACATACAGCTAGGAAAACACAGACAACATATGACACCACATATATCAAAAGCTAGATTTTTGAACTTTTCTATCCGTGTTGCCGAAGCACGCTCGGTGATGATTTTATTTTAATTCGGGATTCCTTCGGCAGAACAATCTAATATGACACAGAAGCAGGTGGAGCAGGAAGAGGGAGGTCGGAGTCAACGTGGAGCGTGAAAGTCACGAAATAATAATCACGACAATCACACCCCAAGTTGACGGTGGGACACGTCTGGAATTTCTTTTCTTTCTTCTCCTGCCAAGCTCAAACAAAACTCTTCCCATTTTTCTGTTCTGTTCGTCGTAGTTGTCGCTTTGGGTTGGTTTACGTTCTGCCACCGGAATCATGAGTTTATTTTTCTCATCATCACCGAAGACGTTTCTGATTTCTTTTCAGGTTATTTTTTGTCGTGCTCTGTTCTGTTATTTTCTCGTTTGGAACGAACCGATACCGGAAGGAAAAATACTAGCTTTTGATAATAAAGTGACGTACCGATTCATTTTGCTAGTAGAAGAGACGGTCTCTTCTGCATCGCGTGAGAGAAGAAATCGGTTGAGATAAACCTGAAAGTAAGGGAGAAATGGTTGGTACGATTTAAAACATATTCAATAAAAGTTGTTGATGTTATTTATTTGCTTTTATTGTTGTCGATGCCTGGTGGCAACTTTCTGATCTGTACATACACCCACACATGTATATATATATAAAAGGTATTGGTACAGGATATTTCCATTAATAAATGAATGCACATATATTGTATACATCGGAAACATAAAAACAACACGGAAAATCACAACATCTATATCATTTTGGTTGGTTTCTGTGAAATCTCTTCATAGAGTCTTCGTGCCAGTTTGTCATCAATTGTGTGTGTTTGCTTTAGCTGTATTCTGTGATTGCAATTTGTCTGTTAGCTTCCTACCTGGCTTGATTGGCTATTGTTTTCTGAAATTATTACATCAAGGTATAGAACACATAAGAGGTATCACAAAATATAACTATCTAGTGTAATTGAAGCCAACAAATGTTTGTACAAAGTAATTCCAACATCCGAGTTTCGCGAATTCCCACGGCACTAGACATTAGCGTAAGGCCCAAACCGAGAGAAGGGCTACTCCTCGATTCAACTCCCGTATTGATTTTGTCAACAGTCGTCGCCACTTCGTCAGAAAAACTCAATTTGTTCCCACTCAGTCGTCGAACCCCAACCGGAGCACTTATAATGCACGTACGCTCTCTAATGCGATTTAAACGAAATGAAACGTATCCAATTCTATCGTTTTAGCCGCTCCATTCAGCCTTGTTGGGCAGCGTATACATTTCAGACGGCACTTTTTGTTCCCCAAAAACTCCGAGTGTCCGAGACCCGCTCAGAAGTTTGTCCTTTTTCCATCCCTATCTATCAGTCGATTCGTACAGTCGATAACATCATCACTCATTCATTGGGTTTGGGATGGATCCCGAACTGTCGTCCAGTGAGCTTTATGTCCCCATATCACAGGCCTAGTACAAGTCCTGGCATGACCTTCAATCGGGGGAAAAAATACTGCCCAAAACTCTGTTCTAAGGGACATCCGAAGAATAAAAAGCGGTCGGAAAATGTCATTGATTATGTACACTGCAAACATGAATCCTCTTTCGCCATTCCCTCGACCACATCTTTTCACTTTACTCGAAAAGGATGGAAGCGTTTTTCTTGAAAAATACACTGACGTTTCGCTGTCTATCCGAATGCTATTGCCGAATAGTCAATACAGTTGATGGCAGAAAGATATTGGCTTGTTTTTACCCTGTCGCGCATTAGTAGGCTTCGACAGAATGCCACCGTGCAGAAGGCCTAGCGAGCTGGCACCAGATGACTCCCAGATAGTGCGCCTACCCATTGCAATGCATTGTACAAATCGAGATGCAATCTAATTGAACTAGTGGACGTGAAAGCCCCTGCAGTTAGGATGTTCAGTAGGTCCGTTCTTGGAACTCAGAGATTTACAGGTCTGTATTTCGAATGCAAGTTATTTCGCGGAATATGGGAGACGATACCTAATTTTGGTACGTGACGTTAGGCATAATGTTCGATGATGTTTTAGATTTAAAATTTCAGTGTTCATGACCCCTCCTACAGTCACGTTAAAAAAAGTGAGGAGTTGTGTGAGAGATTTAACTCATTATTGACGTAGTACTTCGAGATTATTATTGGTGCTCAAATGAAGATTAATGAAAATTTTGAAGATTTTCTGTAAACAGATGAAGCACGATGCAAGGAGATGGGTAAAACGAAAGTAGATTTTTCGTAGATTGATTTGCTAGCATGGTTTCGAGGATTGAGATTTAGATGTGCCGTGCCCGCTGGCATTTGTACACACTTTCATCACAATAAGTTACAGCAACTTGTTTATGATTGAAATAAGCCGTATATAAGTTTCTAAAATTGATTTGTGAGAAGCGTGCTACTAGGGTGGCGTTGAAGAAAGAAAATTCGAATTCGGTTAAATCGAGGTAGGCATGCAAAAAAAGAGTAGGCGTTACAAAGCCGCATGTGGTAAAAGTTTTGATTCCAAATTCTAAATTGTAGTGACCGGTTGACTGGACAAGAAGGTGATTCGTAGTGTCTATTGTAGTGATTGATTGAAAAAATAAACAGTGGTTCTTATTTCTCGTGGCAGGTGCATCCTGGTGTCTATCGTAGTTTAAAAAAAAAATGACTGAACTACGATTGGTCTCTGTTCCTCCCGGTAGGTGATTCACAGTGTCGGTAGTAGTGACCTATTGATTGAACGAACAGTGGTCCTTGTTCTTCCCGGAATGTGATTCTCGGTGTTTTTTGTAGTAACCGGTTATGTAACCGGTTAACTGAACGAACATTGGTCCTTGAATCATCTGACCCGTTATTTCCAACAATAAGATCCCTTCCAAAACAAGCAAACTGCTTTTTTTCTGAAGATGCTCAAACTCTTCTACTTTCATCTACCGCTGCATGAACCGATGGTAAAACAGAAGTAAGCGACAATTCTGAAAGTGACGATGAAATGGGCAGTGATAATTTTTTTTTCTTTGATATTGTATGAAAGGATTGATGAAATATAACTATGTTGAGATATAGGTAGTAATCATTTGAGGTAGTAATGTTGTTTTTAATGTTCATAAAAAAACAGCAATAACACAATTATATGGGAAGTTGGGTAATAAGCAGATCAGCAGAGTTTGGTAATAAGCAGATCAGCAGAGCATACTAAAGAAGACAAATGATTTGGTATGCAATGGGCAGCATTTTAAGTATTCTTTCAAATGTAATCAACCTGGTTTGCCCAGTTTTGCACAACTTCGGTCTATTGACCTAGGAAACAGTGCTTATTTTGGATCAATATCAATATTGAATATTTTAACAAATATTGAAGATAGGGAATGGGAATGGCGTATTTTCAAAAACTAAATATTTGTGTAGAACATACTTATGTCAAAAAACTACTTCCTGACAAGTTATTTGCAAAAAAATGATTTTTCGAAAGTTCTTACCAAAAAAAAATAATATCTCTGTATAAATAAGAGATAGAGGGTTGAAGTATTCAGCAAAAATATTTTTTATTTAATATTGTCTTAAACTTTGCTCAAGACATCATTTTGCTATCTCGACAAACAAAAAAAGTATATTTTTCATCTCCCTGCTTGGTAGATTAATCATGACATGACAAAGCTAAAAAGAAGGGTCTTTTTAAGTGCACAAATTTCTCTCAAGCCACTATATGGCTTAAATGGATCGTTTTCGAATAAACTAAAAAAACGCACGTTTTTGCAATTTTAGACCACTGTGCATTGGCAAAAACATGATAGACACTTATGAAAAAAAAAACTTTCATCCAGTCGAGTAAGAAAGTAATAAGTCTACCAGGCAAAGGACCAGTGTTTGAATCCCATTCTCAAGTTTATTTTGTCGCTGGTTTTTATGATGTTTCAAACATGTTATAAGACCAGAATTTAGTTTTATAAACCCGCGTCTTATGCTTTTTAGGTTGTATAAATGTATACATATTATTGATTCTTTACGTAAGTCATTGAAAGGTATTTTCAACTTCTTTATGACAAGCCGTGTTGCTTTGGTTGTATAACTGTTGCATAGTTTTAACTAATTAGTTTTGTAAAGACCGGTACTCGATCAGCTGGAGTACATAAGAAAAAAATGCGGTAGAACTTTGAATATCAGTGGTCCCTTCACGATGTCAATATCGTTGTATTTTTTTTATTTAGATGAAAATGTGCAGACACGTTCCTTTTGCCCAAAAATGCTATTTTCTATCTTTAAATCGGAAGGGCCACCAACATTTTCCAAAAGGGTTAAATTTCTCAACAGTTCGAAAAATTAGTGTAAATTTCTGTTCAATATGATGCAAATAAAAGGAGCGTCATATCTCATACACGTTTACATTATGTATCATGTAAAGTTCTGACACATTTCATGCAATGTAGCAAATATTGTATATAAAAGCTCATTTTTGGAAACAACATTGTTTGCATGTTGCTCGGTTGCGTGAAATGAAATACAAGTCTGCGTGAATGAATTTTTACATCACAATTAAAATTCATAATTTTTATCTGTGAATCTAGGAAGCATGAAGAAAACAACTATAAACCTCATATATAACGTGGGATGTTTTCTGTATCATTTATCATTCATTTATAAAACAAGCCGTTCTAATTCTTTTTCAAAAAGATGTTTTATGTGTTACTTGGAAAACATGTTGATTTATTGAAATAAAATTAAGATTTTCAACTTTTTGCTAGTGAAATTCATATGGATAGTAATGTCAAAGTCGTACCGCTTGATATCATGCTAACTATGAATATTAGTGTCGCAAGTGATATTCAGTACTAGACCAATTTCTTACGTCGCAATTTGACACACAGCACGCAGCACTGGTGCTTGCGCCAGTGGTCTAGCAGCAAGCGTGACTGCTCACCCCAATGGGTCTGGGTTCAATCCCTGCCGAGGTCGGTGGGATTTTTCTGATGCATAAAAATCTCTGGTCACGTATTCCTTCGGAAGAGAAGTAAAGCTGTTAGTCCCGGCCCATGTGTATTGAATGGGTGAGATATCCTACGCACGTTTGGATGCTGCCTTCCTGCACATTCGATTGCCGTCAATGCATAACAATCGATATCCGTCGGTGATTGGCACTAGGTTGTGGAACAGAGACCGACGTTAAATAAAGGAAAGAAGCAGCACTGGTGCTGGTGATGTCACGTTGGAGCTTAGTCCCCTCTTCCATATGCCACAAATTGTCGCGTTTTTTTCAAACCCCCTCCTCCCTCTATAAATGAGTGGCGTAATTTAAGGATGGCCCCATTTATGATAATCACCTGCTAAGGAAGGTGAACCAGTTATGGCTATACCTTCCTAATATGGTTGGTTCCAGTTATGGCCTATGGAAATCCCATATGCCACAACTGAACCATACCATAAATGGAAAGTATAGCCATAACTGGTACATCTACCCGTGATGGCGGAGTCCTGATTGCAGTATCAACGAGACTAACCAGCAACGTAAGTACGTCATCCATTTTCAGTCAA